GTCATAATACACCACCCCATTCTTCTTCCATTTAGGAAAGAACATCATGAAGCAGAAAGCATAGGGATAACTCTGCATCCATGCAATCTGGTTCATACAAACAAGCCAGATTCCAAATGTCAGTACTATAACTCTTAGTAGTCACAAATGCATTTCTACTCATGCAGCTCTGTATGGCTGAGAAGTAGGGCCTTGGAGAAAGCCTAGGGGTGGAGGGGCTCTAGGGTATAATATCCATCCAGAAACCTGAGTAGCATCATCCCTTGGCACAGGAGAAATTTTGTCACAGCCACCTACCACTGGCTCCAAGGTTTCAAACAGTCCAGTGTTTCTTATAACACAGGAAGGGCATGCAACATCCTCCCTTAGATCTGGAGTTGGGTTCAGCTCCCTTGGAAAGAACCACCATGACTTCAAAATCTACTGCGAAAGAACTGATGAGTGGGACCCCTCAACAACACTGCACATAAGGATAAAAGGTCTATGCTAATGAGTATTAAATTCACAGAACTATAAATACCGTAAACACGAGCATTCTAGCTTTCTCATCTTCACTCAGTAATGGACCTGCCTCCCATTTCTATTCACATAGTGCAATTCATATTGTCTTAGGTCATCTGAATTTCAGTTACTAAAGTTCCAATTATCCAAATACCCTCAGGTGGAACTGTTTGATTGTTACAGATAAAAAAAACATAATCACGTGTCCCCTTCTCTTTTACATTCTTTTCTCCCACGCAGAAACTGTATCCATGTCTTTTCCTCTAAAGGGAAATTATAGTAAGTGATAGTAAATGGTAGAAATTCTAAACAGAACAAAAACCGTTTCTAGGAAAAATAAAGTCCTAATTACGAATGAAAGTACTAAGTAAACTAAATCACATTCTTAATCACTCTATCAAAACTAAAGGTGCTCCTCAACTTACACTAGGGTTACATCCTGATAAACCCATCGTAAGTTGAAAATATCACAATCTGAACATGCTTCTCTTACACCTAACCTACCGAACATCATGGCTTAGCACAGCCTACCTTAAGCATGCTCAGAACACTTACAATAGCCTACAGTTGAGCAAAAGCACCTAACACAGGAACGCACAGTAGAGTATCAGTTACGATTGCATGGCTGACTGTGAGCTGTAGCTCACTGCCACTGCCCAGCATCACAGCAGAGCATAATCCCACATATTGGTAGCCCAAGGAAAGATCAAAATTCTAAGTACACCTTCTACTGAATACATATTGCTTTTGCACCATCATACAGTCAAAAAACATGAGTTGAAACATCATAAGTCAGGGACAGTCTAAAGTCATTTTTTACATCTAATCTATATGAAGTATGATCTTCCTATTATAGTAAGATTCTATTTACAGGTCAGTGATTCTATAAGAAGGTAGTTAACATAAAGTTATGATTTAGATGTTGATGCGAAATAAACCAAAGCTTAAAATTGCAGCTCTGTCAATTATCAGCTGTATGAACTTGGGCAAACTGCTTATTCTCTCTACATTTATTTTTCATCTGTAAAATGAGACAGTCTAGCACCTACCTCAGATGACTGATGCAAATACTAAATAAGATAAGGTACACAAAGCTCTAAGCACAATGCCTAACACATAATGGCCCCCAACAGATGTCTGCTGGTAGCAGCAGCAGTAATAATAGAAACAGCAGCAGCAGCAGCAGCAGTCTGCATTATTCCCCAAACTTTATTTCATCTAGCTCTACTTTTTGACAAACATAAAAATCCCACTGGTAGAAATTTCTAGTGCTCCTTCATATCTGACTCTCCTTCCTGGAAAGAGGAGAGGACAATACCTCCCAGCCCCTTGCAATTGTCTCTTCCAATCCAAGGAATTGAGAAGCCAATATGCCATTTCCAGGCGCTCGCGCTCTCCTGTAACCATGTACCAAGATGCAGAAAGCCTGGATCTGGAGTCACTGCCTGGAGGAGAGCTACTTGACCTGCTTCATACCTCAGGTGAATACACAATAAATCTCTGATGTGTTAAGCCACTAAGATTTGAAGCTTGTTTATTATTGCTTCAGGATCTACCCTATCATGACCAATAGGTACTCCATATACCCCTAAAAGGGATCCTGACAGACTTCCCAAGAGGGGAAGGAGGGGCACATCAATGTTTTTTTAAGTAACTTGCTTTTTGGCAATCTTAATATTCTTTACTTTGTGATACTACCTCATATTGCAAGTAAATTGACTTTTCAAACTCTCCATGTTTCTTCCTCCTTTTATATTTAACCTAAAAAATAATAATTATAATATATTTAATATACAGATTAATACTGGGGCTTTCACTGGGTCTATGTTACACAGTCCTATCTCACCCACAGCACCCAAGGTAGCCTCTGATCATATAGGTTCCAGAACAAGGAAGGGGTAATGGGAGCAGCCTCAACTCTTCACTTGTTTCCAGCTTAGGGTAACATGGGATAGTTAAATAGAATTATGAATGTCACCTAGTTTAAACTGAACTAACCCTCATGAAATGAACAAGGGGTTTTATATGTTTTTTACTGCCCGGCTGGTGTGGTTCAGTGGTTTAGTGTTGACCTATGAACCAGGAGGTCATGGTTCAATTCTTGGTCAGGCACATGCCTGGGTTGTGGGCTCGATCCCTACTCCGGGGTGTGCAGGAGGCAGCCAACCAATGGTTCTCTCTCATCAGTGATGTCTTTATCTCTCCCTCCCTCTCTGAAATCAATAAAATATGTATTTTAAATGTTTTTACTAGGAGTCAAATGGTTCTTTGTGTCATTAAAATTTACCTCAATATACTATTTATATTACTTTGCCTTTTCCATACTTAATATTTGTGAATGTCATAGAAGACAATGTATTAACATAGTAGCACATCATGCAATTGATAAATAAATATACGTGTGTAGGTGGGAAATCTATGCTCAAAAACATTTAATGATTAAAGCATAAAATAGAAGTTTAGATATCAGCTTTCAATTTTGCCACTACATGCATTATTCCTAAACTTCTGTAACCATTTCCCAAAACAACTAAAAAAGGAAGAAAACCAGTATCGGACTGGGGAAACACTCACAGCTGTAACAGGTTCATAGGATTTGCATGAACTAGCAAAGTCAGAAAAAAATATAAATAACAGTGAAGAGCATTAATTTGAATTAGGAGTAAAGGACAGGCTTTCTGTTCCAACTGAAAATCACATTTGCACATCTGAAAACTAGCAGACTGTCAGAGAACCAAAGGGATAAGATGATTGCTTTCCACACTCAGAACAAACAGCAGATTCTCTGACAGATTAGAAATGCTTCTATGGGTACTTGGACTCCACAGGCTGGAAGCCAGGGAAACAGACAGGAGGGTCCACAAATGACCCTAAGAAAGGCAGAGCACTACCTTAGGCCAACATAAAGATCACTTATTGGAGAACATGAGTTTAGCCAAATTTAAATTATCTCAAATATCTGGAAACTTTTTTAGCCAAATGGCATAGCACCACCTATTCCACATCTCTTAGCACTTACCTCACTACTACGAAACGGTGAGGCTGGGACTTAAATCCAGGAATGTCTGATTCCAAAGCCCTTATGAAAATAGCATCATATAAATGAGCCTCACAGAACAGGTAGGATATGAAAATCAAGACTGGCTTGGATTAAAAGGGAAGAAGTAGGGCCTTAACCGGTTTGGCTCAGTGGATAGAGCGTCAGCCTGCAGACTCAAGGGTCCCAGGTTCGATTCCAGTCAAGGGCATGTACCTTGGTTGCAGGCACATCCCCAGTAGGGGGTGTGCAGGAGGCAGCTAATCGATGTTTCTCTCTCATCGATGTTTCTAACTCTCTATCCCTCTCCCTTCCTCTCTGTAACAAATCAATAAAATATATTTAAAAAATAAAATAAAAGGGAAGAGGTAGGGAGAGGAGGTGTTGTGACGTCCTCCAGGTATAAGATAATGGAAAGAGCAAAGTTATGGAGGTGGGAAACCCTGAATATGTACAGGTATTACCACGTGGTGGTTCTGGTAGCCTAGGAGATGTGGAGGGAGGGGGTATGAGATAATGCTGGAAAGACTAGTCAGGCTTTCCAATAGAAGGCTCAGCCACAGAAGCAGACTTCATTCTGGAGGCAATGAGTAATTATGGAGGGCTTTAAAGCAGGGGAATGGCATAAGTGCAGGTAGATGCTGGGAAAACTAATCTTGCTATGACATGGAAGAGGGATCAAAGAAAAGTCTGAAGGTGGCTTGCACATAGTATGTGGTTAATATTGAATGGATGAGGCAAAAATGTGTTGTGTTTCTCTAACATATCAAGCCCATTCTACCCAACACCACTTATATAATTTTGTTCAGTTCGATATTTAGAAAACAAACTCCATTCACTCTAGTGCTGATACTTCAAAAAAAATAAATAAATTCACTGGTCAGATGTGGTCCTCTAAATGTTGCTATTAAAGTGTCTACTCTTATGTGTGAGGATGGCCGAGTGGTCTAAGGCGCCAGACTCATAAAGTGTCTACTCTTGCCCTGCCAGTGTGGTTCAGTGGTTGAGTGTCAGGGCACATGCCCAGGTAGCAGGTTCGATACCCAGTGGGGAGCATGCAGAAGGCAGCCAATCAATGATTCTCTCTCATCATTGATGTTTCTAACTCTCTCTCCTTCTCCCTTCCTCTCTGAAATCAATAAAAATATTTTTTAAATGTCTACGCTTGCAAAAATTAACATTTTCCTCTTCTATTCAAAGGAAGTACATCTGAGTTGCTGTTGTAACTGCTGAAAAAGAAAACAAAATTAACCAAGTCTCAAAGTTAGACAATGAAAACTGATCCTCCCTCTTCCACAACAGTGTGAAAGGTCATTGGAAAATAAGGAGGTCACAAGCTGTAATCTCATATTTCCTATGCCCTCCTGTAGTCTCCAAGTCAAACACATACTAAGTCGGAGCTTGTTTGATAATGCTGAACTTTCTTCTGCAAAGCAAAACACTGAGATGAGTCCTAACCTACCTGATTTTCTTCATGGGAAACCCTCATCTGCTCCTTGAGGACAGACATCCGGGCTGCTTCTTCTTTCCTCAAGACTCTCTCCTTCTTGAGCTCCGGACTCCAGAAGGTCTTGATACTGTTCATGGAAGACCCCAACTTGCTGTCCTTGATGTCTAGCTCTTTCCGAAGGAGTTCATTCTCTCTCTGCAGTTCCTTGAGCTGGGCTTGCAGGTCTAACATTGTGCTGTCCCTTACCTGCCTCAACATGGAGGGGACCTGGTGGTGGTGATGATGGGATGAGCTGGTCAGACCTATATGTTGATCTGTGTAAGAAAGGACATCTGTGTGGGAAAGTCCAGCAGAAGCAATATTGGGACTACTCCCCATGGCTGTGATGCGACCTCCATATACAGCTCTATTTGTGGCCCTTCCCAGAGTCATGGTGCCCTTTGGGTAAGTCGTCGAAGCCACCCCCTCATGATCACTCAGATACATGGGTCCAGACGTAGCATAGGCTGCATTAAGGGACTGGATATTCTCCATGGACAGAGTCTTGCCCGCTCCTCCACCTCCCCCACTACTTGTTCTTCGGTGGCCCAAACGAGGAGACCTTGGCAAACGAGGGGATCTGGAAGGGCTCCCTTCCAGATTGGTGATTGTTCTTGCACTTCCATACATTTTTCTTCTATTATGAGGTGCGACTGAAGAGAAGAAATGCTATACTAAGTTGAGGATAAAGCCAAAATTTTCACTGTTGGCCAGATTTTTCACTGCATTCCGCTCATAGTCTGTACCAGAAAATTACTCCAATCAGAGATCTGAAAAATGAGAAAAAGGATCATCAAAAACAAACTTCTTTAGAACTGTCACTATAATTTCATTATGTTTTTAAATATATAGACAACCAAGATGTCCTCCAGTAGGTAAATACATAAATAAATTGTGGTACATTCAGATAATGGAATATTATTCAATGCTAAAGAGAAATGAGCTATCAAATCATGAAAAGACATGGAGAAAATTTAAATGTATATAACTAAGTGAAAGAAGGCAATATGAAAAGGCTACATAATATATGATTCCACCTAAAAGACATACTAAAAAAGGAAAAACTATGGAGACAGTGAAAGAATCAGTAGTTGCTAGGGGTTAGGATCAGTGGTTGCTGGGAGAGGGATGAATAGGTGGAACACAGAGGATTTCTAAGGCAGTGAAACTACTCTGTTTGATACCATCATGGTGGATACATTTCTTTATACATTTGTCTAAACCAGCCGTGGGCAAACTACGGCCCGCGGGCTGGATCCGGCCCGTTTGAAATGAATAAAACTAAAAAAAAAAAGACCATACCCTTTTATGTAATGATGTTTACTTTGAATTTATATTAGTTCACACAAACACTCCATCCATGCTTTTGTTCCGGCCCTCTGGTCCAGTTTAAGAACCCATTGTGGCCCTCGAGTCAAAAAGTTTGCCCACCCCTGGTCTAAACCTATAGAATGTACAACACCAAAAGTGAGCCCTACTGTAAAATATGGGCTTTGGATGATTATTATTGTATCAATGTAGGTTCACTGTTTGTAACAAATGTACCACTCTGGTACAGGATTGATAACCGGGGAGACTGTGTATATGTGGAGGCAAGAGCTCAATGGGAACTCTGTTCTATTTTGCTGTGAACCTTAAACCAGTCTAAAAATAAACTCTATTAAAATAAATAATAGATAGATATCAATGGTGCTAATGATAGATGAACAATAGGTAGGTAGGTAGGTAGATAGATAGATAGATAGATGATAGATAGATAGATAGATAGATAGATAGATAGATAGATAGACCCATGTTCATTTAAAAAGAAAAGTGACCCCAAAATTTTACTTACTACATCTAAACATTTTGTAAATTCTCCCCATCCTGCTCCCAAGCAAGGTCAAAATTTCTCAGCACAAAAAACACTAACTTTGCCCTAACTGGTTTGGCTCAATGGATAGAGCGTCGCCCTGCGGACTCAAGGGTCCCAAGTTCGATTCTGGTCAAGGGCATGTACCTTAGTTGCGAGCACATACCCAGTAGGGAGTGTGCAGGAGGCAGCTGATCGATGTTTCTCTCTCATTGATGTTTCTCACTCTCTATCCCTCTCCCTTCCTCTCTGTAAAAAATAAATAAAATATATATTTTTTTAAAAAACACACTAATTTTTCCTTAGGAAAATGAAGCTCTGCATTTTGGGTTGTGTTAAGTGACAGTTAGAACCTCCAGAAAATTGAGCATAGCATATTTCATCACAAAGACCTGAGTTATCAAATACCCTGTCCTGGGAGCATGACCCCTCTACACAAATGGCTTGACAGTGACTCTGAGAAGCTGTTGCTTCCTAAGATGTCAAATAATAGTCAATCATGTTGTTACCTCCACTCTTGTACCCACTACAGACATCATTAACCCATCACAGTCCTCTTTTCCATTAGATTCAGAACTGTTCTCAATACAGCACTCTAGATGGTTTACCATCAATCAACTGGCATTGATATATGATTTAGAACCTATCGGCCATCTTGGAAAAAGAGGTTGCTCAACTAATATAGGCGGCTTCCTACATATCACCGGATCCTAAGTGCTATCATCAGAGATGACAGTCCTGTCTCTTTCCCCTTTCACATACATCTTTCAGACTGGCCTTGGGGGACTTTGGGGACTTCTTTCGCATTTCTGCTGATCTAAATATTGATATTAACCATTCCATACCTGTACAGAAATGCACAAAACAGTGCACCATGTTAGAGTCCCTGGTTCCATAAGCCCTAGAGAAAAGTAGTAGAAGCTTCATGTCACCATTACTAAAGTACTTTGGTACAGATTTTATGCAGCCAGGGCTACAAACTGTGATTGTCCCGTCAGTGCTGGTATCCAGATGGCCTTAACAGGATGCATCACGGCCTCCTGCTCTTTCCCTTAGGGTGTGTTTGGTCTACTCTCTTTTTCTTCAGCTTTAAGATAGTAAGAGCACAGGTTCTGGAAAGGGCCAAAGTGAAGTTCAACTCTCCACTCTAACAACTAACTAGCTGAGTGACCTTAGGCAAATTATTTCACTATTATGAGCTTCCTTTCTCCAATCAATAAAATATGGGTAATTTTATCTAACTCATGGTATCCTAAGAAAAAGATGATGTTTATAAACCACCTAGTTTGGTGCCTAGCAATAATTTTTGTTGGTAGTGTCAATAAATACATTAATAGTATTATACAGGGCACCTTTTATTTTTACCTGCTTATCATTCATTTCTCCCCCACCCCCACTTTCTGGTAACAGTATCTCTATTTTCCTTAGAGAAATTGTCCCCAACCCTCGACTCACACAGTCATTAGGTTATACAAGGCTGATCCCCTCTACTCCACCCTGGATAGGATTAGAGTGAGAATATGAACCAGGCCTGGCCAGTCATCATAGTCCATCCCCCAAACATGGCAGCTGGTTTAGGATGGACATGTGGCCCACATTGGTCCAAAAGACTCCATACCATCATTTTAGATGAAACAACTAGGAAAAATAAGCTCTTTTTCAGCTGGAATTACTTGCTTTGAAGAAGGAACTTCTGAGTACTACCATGTAAAAAGGGCTTCCCTGAGACTGAAGCTAATGCAAAAAAAAGTTAGAGCCAAACTTTTAATACTGTGAAATCAGGCCAGGTGACATCGCTTGATATCCTGGATCCAGCAGTCATTAAAACTATATCCATCCCTAGCCATTTTAGTTACATATGCCAGGCAGACTGACTGCATTAATGGCCCCAATTCCTGTATCTGTCCCCTTGGCAGTGCCCTCACAATCTGACCCTGGGTTCTGTTGCATGACTTGCTTTGGCCAATAAGTAGATAACAGATGTGAAGAAGTGGAGGCCTGAAATAGCACTTGTGTATTTACTCTCTTGCTCGTTTTCTTCTGCCATAGGAATTAGAACATGCCTAGTATAGCCTGATGGAAAATAAAAACATAAAGCAGGGCAGTGTGTCCTAGCCAATAACCAGCCCCAAGACATCTGAGCAAGCCCAGCTAAGATCAGCAGAGGTGCCTAGCCAACCAGCAACTGACTACAGATGCAGGAGCAAGTTCAGCTAATAGCCACTGAACTCCATACACTCATGGACTAAACAAATGCTTCTTAGTATGTCACTGATGTTTTGTGGTTGGCTATTTGGCAACATTACTGGTTCAACAGGTAACTGATATATTCACCCATAAAATTTCTATATTCAATTCTAGTTGGAGTATCTGTCACTTGTACCCAAAAAAGTCCTTACGTATTATATGAACAAATATTTTCCATAATTGCTTCTGCTTTCCCTAAAAATTCCCTACAAAGAATTATATGCCTGTCTCTAACTAAAGAACTTAGTTTCAAATGTTTATATTGCTCAGAGCTTAATTATATTTTACTTGATAATAAACAAAAATCATTTATATCTAAGATTTTTGCAGAAATAACCTGTTTTGTTTTGTTTTTTAAGAGTAAATCAATAGTTCTAACCATTGGAATTCAGTTTACATAAATGATGAGAGACAGACGGTGAAATAATGTGATCATTACATGAATATTGAATGAGATGAAAAGATGTTCATGCCATATGGGGGTGAGGGGGGCAAATACATTTCTATGGTTTACTCAAACTTTTGTAAGACATATGCACACACACTTACTAGCAGAAGATTGAAACAACACACATCAAAATGTTAACAGTGGTGGGAATCCAAGTGGCTTTCATTTTTTTTCCTTTTGTTTACTTGCATGTTCTAAATTTTCTACCTATATATATAAAAGGTAAGCGACCAAATGACTGATCAACCAAATGGTCAACCAGTTGCTATGATGCGCACCGACCACCAGCGGGCAGATGCTCAACACAGGAGCTGCTCCCTAGTGATCAGTGCACTCCCACAGCCAACCTCCTGCGGCTGGCCAGTCTCCCACAATCCCTCCCCCAGGCCTGCCAACCTCCCGCAGCCCTGATTACCTGGATCGCCGGCCAGGCCAAGGGACCCCACCCATGCATGATTTTGTGCACTGGGCCTCTAGTACTATATAAAGATTTTTCTATTTTTTTTTATTATCTATTTCACGTATTTCTGCTCTGAACTTTGTTATTTTCTTCCTTTAGTAACTTTGGGCTTTGTTTGTTCTTCTTTCCCTTGTTCAAAAATAGCCAATGGTAAGGGTTTTTTGGCTGTTGTTGTTGTTACACAGCAAAGAACTGAAATAGTCACTTAATGTTTCATTGGAAGGTTATCTAATCATTTCTTGACCAATCACCTATTATTGGACACAGGTTATTTTTAATGGAAATATCATAATTAATATTCTGATTGATAAAACTCTATATACATCTCTTATTACTTCCCCAGGATAAAGTTCTAGAGGTAGAATTATAAGATAGAAATGTAAAGGTTCTTAATACCCACTATCAAAACTGCCCCCAGAAATGCTGAAATAATTTACACTCACACCCTTACTGTTGGCTATTTTTCCTCCACTGCCTTTACTCTTTGCTCTCAACATGTCTTGGAAGCCACCAGCTTCTTTTGAGCCTATAAAAAACCCCTAAATTACCCAAATCATGATCACAGCTCTGTATGTTCAGTAAATACACCTTAATCAGGAATACCAATACTGTGCTAACCAGCTCTGCTTTGGGCCAGTGCTTCTGCAATAGTGTGGCCAATGTTCAGATAAACAAGGCTAATGGGGATTTGTTTGTACACCAAGACTTTAAGGCACTAATGTGTACTGTGACTATTCCAAAATTGAGTATACAATGTAGCTTT